TTTGAAAGGAAGAAACTTATTACCTGGTATTTCAGTGGAAGTGAATTCGTTGGAAGATGAGCAAAATAGAGCCAATGGTCGATACACGAAAGTCGTAGGACGTGATCGATCCGATTTGAAAGGAAGAAACTTATTACCTGGTATTTCAGTGGAAGTGAATTCGTTGGAAGATGAGCAAAATAGAGCCAATGGTCGATACACGAAAGTCGTAGGACGTGATCGATCCGATTTGAAAGGAAGAAACTTATTACCTGGTATTTCAGTGGAAGTGAATTCGTTGGAAGATGAGCAAAATAGAGCCAATGGTCGATACACGAAAGTCGTAGGACGTGATCGATCCGATTTGAAAGGAAGAAACTTATTACCTGGTATTTCAGTGGAAGTGAATTCGTTGGAAGATGAGCAAAATAGAGCCAATGGTCGATACACGAAAGTCGTAGGACGTGATCGATCCGATTTGAAAGGAAGAAACTTATTACCTGGTATTTCAGTGGAAGTGAATTCGTTGGAAGATGAGCAAAATAGAGCCAATGGTCGAGTTGTTGCTAATTCACAAGATGACGAAAGAAAGAAAATTGAAGAAAACTCCATGACTGGAATTAATTAAAGGAGGTCGGTACCGATGTAATAAAACAGAATTTTATTCATTTATTATAGAATAAAATCACTTTAGTTTTAATTATTTATACGATTACTATTTACTTCCGTTTACAAGTGTTAAATCGCTCTAATAAATACATTCTTTTTTTGAAATTTCTAAATATTTCGCAAAATTTTGCCCCTTCTTTTGAGGAAAACGGGTAAAATTCTACTTATAAATATTCAGATATAATTTTAATTTAAAATATTTGCAGTTTGACTTCGAGGTGGACCGAATATAGGCGATCTTCCGGCTTCACTTCTTTAATTAATAGCTGTTGGATCGTCTCAAAAACTTTGTAACTTGAATATTCAAATATTAATAAAGAACATTTGAACTGGAGAATATTCTGGTTTTTATTATTATTTGATCCTTGTTATGGCATCTCGAATTAGAAATTGTACCAAAATCCATAGGATTGTGTTGTATTAACTGAATTGTAACTGTTAAGTCCGCACGCGTAAGTCTCGCGCGAGCGGCCGCGAATGAGAACAGTCCGATTCAAGATGGAGGAGGTAGTAGGGCCGGAAATGATGCACTCCACTACGCATTTAATAAACGAAATGAATTAATTTATATATTACAGTCGCCTCGCATTTTTATATTCATAAAATTAGAAAAATACAAAAATTTTATGGGACACGGTGTAATAAAAGTTTATAAAATGATTTAAAAATACAAATGTAAAAATTAAATTATTTCCGGGACAAATTTGAGTTCTTTACTAGTTATTCGCTTTAAAACAACGCGATTATAAGCGAATTTTTTGACAAACAAAAATAAAAAGATTGAAATCGCCGAATTTATTCTAGTCTGGGTTCTCACAGAATGATGCAATGCAATACTTGGGTGTTTCCCGGAAGAACGTACAACAACAGATTAGAAAATTAACAAACATGTCTAAAGTAGCTTTACCGGGCAACTTAACTATAAGCAATAACGCAAACGGCGAAAGGCCCAGCTCGTTTTACTAATACAGTACTAGTTTGGTTGGTTTGGTATGTTTGCATACCGAAAACACCAGGTAGTCGGCGCTAACTTAACAACCAATTACCAATGTTTGCTGCTTTTCATAATTCGAAAAATTACACGTTTTAAGTTTTTGTTATTATTTAACACAATTATATTCTGAATCGCTAGCCACGATATAAGGGCTACAATTAAAAATAAAATAATAAAAACTTACTTACTTGTTAGTGAAATAAAATGTGTGGTGAATGTACAGTACATACCTGGTACAAAATATTCTTCAATTGTATTAATATATTTTTAAAGAAAATTATAATTAAATATAACTTTGTAAAGAAACGTACACAAAAATAACATAAAATCTTCTTTACTTTTTAAATCTTAAAACAATGCACTTAGTCAAATAGCTCCCTACCAGTGTCTAAAGGATGAATCAGAGACGGTCCTGCAGTGCATGCATGCACACGGACTGCCAAATCGCGAGGGTGCCGATACTGGTCAATGTCAAATGCCTCTTTTGTTACATCACTCGTATACCTCAAAGGACGCGATAAATTGTTGTAAATTTTAAACGTTTCTCACCATAGCTGTAAAAATCTACATATGTTAAACTTAATACTAAGTACAGGTAGCCCCTGTATAACACGGCACTTCTATAGCACGGATTCACTCTAACACGGTTCGAGAATTGGGACACATCCCCGTATAACACGGTGCTTTTATAGCACGGATTCACTCTAACACGGTTCGGGAATTGGGTAAAACCCTCGTTCAACATGAAATGTAATAAAGGGTGCGTTCTTTTATACCTCCGCGTAACTCCGCGCGAGCATTCTAATTTTTTTCGTCGCTACTTTGAATGCTCTTTCAACAAAAAATCCATTTAATGGTTAAATTTTACAATTGGGACCTTTCTTTTGCCTCTAAAAGCTCATATTTTAAAATTATAGATTCCTCCATCACGATACTATCGATAGTGCGGGAGCGCCATCTTTCTTTCTTTCACCGTCATTCCTAAATACCTACAAACAGCAGCGCACTCCCGTTGTAGTGGAGACGCAGAGCGACCGCTATTAACGAACGCACCCAAAAACTGTTACCAAAAACATGTTGCTCATGCTGAGATCATCATATAGGATGAATAATCCTTTGGTAAAGTATTTACAGTAGAGCGTCGATTTTCCGAATCAATTGGGGACTGGGGTTGTTCGTATAACTGATATTTCGGATAACCGATTTATGTACGAAAAAATAGTTTAACGTATTCGATGTTAAAATTTTTATCCGTTGCGTGTCGCTTCGCGTTGAATTTTCGTCGATGTTAAGCCTAACAAAGACTATTGTATCGTTAAAAATTATTTTTTTATTTTGTACGAACAAAATAAATATATTGAAAAATATGAAAACAATAAAAAATTATACTTCAGATGTTAATTTAGTATGAAAAAAGTAAAATATTTGAGTAGCCCAAGACATAGCCAAAGATTGAAGCGCCACAGCACTGGCGAAAATTTAAATTTGCCGACTGGAATTCTTTCGGATGATTGACGTTTCGGATGATTGACTTTCGGAAAATCGACGCTCTACTGTATTTAAATAATAAATAAGTATTTTACCCATAAAAACTGAATAATAAATCCGATTTAAAGAAAGATTTAACATCACATTTTTTAATTTTTGGAACCTAACCCCCATTTCACATTAGTTCTTTGTTTCGTATAACACGGCAATTTTTTGGAACGTAACTCCCGTGTTATACGTGGGTTACCTGTAGATTGTCCGTCATTTGTTTTCTAACTAATTCGTTTTAGGACCGGGTGTCCACGGAAATTTCCAAGATATACTTTTCAGTCACTCTCGTTCAACTGGAAAAATTTCTGTCTTTATTATATCTAATATTACGAAGAAATCAGTCTCCTCTATACTCGGATAGAGATTGATTCGGTTAACCTCCTAAGTTTAATAGCATGAATGCCTCTTATGCCTCAAGCTACCGTATCAAATTTTATTTCTTAATCATTATTTCATCCTGAAATATTAACCCTTAGATATCCTATTGTTCCCTTGTTATAGCTTGTGTATGAGGCATTGATGCTATTAAACTGGTGGTTTTGAGTCGCTACCAAGGAAGACAATAAGCTTCCTTGGTAGCGACTCAACTTGACAAATCTTGTGAAGTAACGACTCAAACGAAATTCTGCTAATAAAATAGCATGTCATGAAGAAGCAATATTTTAAAGTTCTTAGAACGGGAGATTTCAGAAATCAAAGATTATCGTCTACCCAACATTCGAAATACGGCGAAGTCCTTGCGAAATTTTTTGAAATGCCTATTTTTTTCCTGTTTTTCTTGAAAAATTGACCCAACATATCTTAAAGTATTATATCAATTATATCAATAAGTCTATGTAAAAAATTCAATTTAAGTTCTATTAATTTTTATTTTTTTGTTAAATACAGGCTGGAAAATACTAGACTTCACATTTAAACTATATTAAAAGTAGCATGTGTAAAATACCCTTGCCCCGTCTACCTCTTTTACGTAAGTTAATGTTTTCATTCGCAGTGTGTAGCTTTTATCATAATCCTATTCTACTATATTCACATTCCGTATTTATCATTGGAATGTGTATTACGTATGTTAATCCATTTCTGCTTTTTGTGCATATTCAATATATTCTATGAGAAATACTGGTAAAGAAATCATTTGGAATCTTTTTCACTTGCTGTCTTTACTTTTGAAAAAATTTTTTATGAATATAATTAAAAAATATCATTTGAATACAAGTAAACGAATCATTAAAAAAATTTGAATTTAGATTTTATCGTCGAAGAAGTCAAAAATAAATTGTAACCAGAGCCTCTTTGGCCATCGGCCGTATCGACTGATGTTACAGTCGACCCCCTATAAGATCATTGATTTTTCCGTTTTATCTGAATTAGATGTTGTACGAGTCACTTAGATTTTACAAATATGTGAGCCGTTCACAGCCCGGCACACGTATTTGTAAAATCTAAGTGACTCGTACAACATGTAATTCAGATAAAACGGAAAAATCAATGATCTTATAGGGGGATCGACTGTACCGCTTTCCGGGACGTGGACTCAGAGGTTGGATTTTGGGAAGCGTGTTCGGGGTTGTGAACAGTGCTGTTTATAATGCACGTGAATGGAATCGTTGGTGATTGGATGCGACGAATGTGTCGTTGTTTGAACTGTGTGTTTCAGCGTGAGGGATGTTGTTGTTTATGTGCGTGGATGTGAATTACTAAACTAGTGCGAGTACGACAAGGGAGAAAAAATTAAAAACCTCTTGTCTACTACTTACATCTAGATTAGTAAATTAAATTTAAGGTTTTAGTTTAAATATTTAGTATGACAAGAGGAAAAAACAAACGAAAAAACCTCTTGCCTTCTTATCCTAGGTTAGTAATATCCTTCAGAAATAGCAAAGGAGTCGTTCGCATCTCTTACGAAGCGACGCTTTTTCCTTTGCATCTTTGCCCACACCGAACGAGAAGATCCCACTCGTTGGAAAAGGGGGGAATGATCGAAACATTCCCCCCTCCCAGTGCGGCAAAAATGATGTCATCAACATGGAGACATTTCACTTTTCGGAACACCGGACGTGTTCCGAAAATATCCGAAAATTCGGACGTGTACGAATGGCGAAATGTCTCCTCTCTGTTCAAAGCGGAACAGAAAATGCTGTCGACATCCGCTATTCCTGAAGGCGATCCCGTGAAGAGAGAATGCCCTTCACACTTCTTCATCTTCTTGGGCCGCAGCCACCGCCAAAACCGCCAGCTCTTCATTCTGTAAAGAAACAAAAAAAATATGTAAATATAAATATTAATGAGATTCGGATATACTTAACGCAGAAAAAGTTCAAGATTATACTCACGACAGAGCTGGCATTAGATCCTACCGGAAATTGCTAGAACGTTCGAACTCCATTTGCAGTAGAGACGACAAAAGACACGGACCGACCCGGAACGAAGAAACTCTCTTATGTGTAATTCGTATTTGTAGGACAGAAAGTAAAAGTACGCCGGACTTAGCGCAGCCATGCGGAAAAGGCATTCGTATTCGATCGCGAGCGCAAGTCGTGACAAGTGTTTCGTTCTACAGCAATTTACCCTAACGTGCGTACAAGCGGTCCGTCACCTAAACGCAACGACGGCACTTAAAAGAGTTTCGTGCAAAGAAATTTCGTACGAGAGTCGACGAAAACACAACACGTGTCCGCAACCGGGACACGACCGTTTAAGTGGCGCAAAGCATTTGCAGAGGGTTACGTAAGTGTGGAAGATAGACTGCACTCAGAAATGACCGCATTGTGAAAAGAGACAAACAGCTTAAGGAAAAGAATTCTTTGTGCCCAGCCTGTATAGTAACTGTTAATGAAGATGAATTTGGTATACTTGCCCAAAAGTTCAAATTGATGTTTTTGTGGTACCGAAGATTAAGGCTACAATCCGCTACATTCAAAAATTTTTTACAACTTGCACCTTACATAACTTTATTGGAGATCCTACTAATAAAAGAGACAATTTAACAGAAACTGATTCTATTAATAACAATTTACGAAATATATCAAGACAAGGAGGTAGAGAGCATCGGGACTCGCATTTGAGGTACGAGAAATTTACAAGAGATTTTTTTCGTCTGAATATGGTCGTGTGGAATAGCAAGACAATACGTTTGCAGTTTAATAGTTTTTTATACAATATAATACAAAATTTAATGCAATAAAACTTAATTTCAAATAAAAATATAATTAAAACTTGTCTGTTCTAGGTTTTCTCTTATTCTAAACTAAAAATTTTTTCCGATTGTTATTGTTGTACAGTAAGTACAGTACATTGGACAAGAGATGTCATAATATTCCGGATATTCAAGTACAAATTTTATTAATTTTTCACACAGTCCATTTTTCGGAAATACAAAATATAATGTACCTTTACAACCCTAACACGACACTGAATCGCAAAATCGTTCACACTAAACTGCATCTGCACGTTAAAGATATGCACAGACACTACAGACATTCCTTCTCCGATTGTCGGTCAGTCGTATCGTTGTCGTGACGTGTCTTTCCCTTGCTAATTAAGGTTAGTGTGAACATGACAATTTAAATTCAATAAAATTATAATTTGTCGTGTCTTTGCCGATTCGTGCCGTGTCGTTTCTTGTTTGATAGTGTCAATTATCCTTTATGCAGGGATCGGCCTACACTCCGTCAAAAAAAAAAAGAAAAAAATTATTACAAAAATATGATATATTTGATAAAATGGGCCAGGACAATAAATACAAACTTAGAAAATTTACAAAAATTTCTAAAGAGAGATAATATATTAAGATTTTCTTCAGATATTGACCTTTCTATGCAACTGAGATGTATAGAAAAAACAAGTTTCAAAATTTTTTGTAAATTTTCTAAAAGTGATACACATTCAAGATCCACAACATCGACTTTATAGTTTAGTTTTTCCCAGAATAAGAATAATTTATTTAAAAAATTATTCACTTTTAATAAAAATAAATTTTAAAAATATTTTTGTAAACACAATTTTGTATGTGCTGTCGTGCTAATAAAATTTTAAAAAATTACTTCATTAATTTATCTTTCAATCTTCCATCATTATTTAAGCCAAAAAGTTTTGGAAATAATATATAATTTTACAAATAATTTACCTTAATATTTATTTTTTATATAATAGCATTTTTAGAGGAAAGATAAGGCTTGACTCTAGAAATCAAGAAATGAAGAAAACAAAGAATAATCTGGCAACATAAAGTTAAAAACAATATGGCGCTCCGCATGATAAGTAATGTGTTCAGTTCATTACCTAAACTTGTCATTGATCAAAATATAAATTCCTCCATAAGGTAATTGTTATGTTATATCGAATGAAATTCTTTATTAGTAATATTTATTGATGGCAAAAATTATTATTGTTTTTTTGTAGTCCAATAGCTGGTTATATTCAAATCAGAGAAAGAAGAAAACGTCGAATTACCCATCCTTTTTCATGGTGGGTAAAGAGAAAGACTAAACATATCGACCAATACTTAACGGATGATAATAAAGAATTCCTTCGTGAATTTGCTAAAGACAAATATTCCAAATCCAACGAGAGTCCATTGAAAAATCCTCCCTGGGAAAAAGGAGAGTTTGAACCTAAGTAAGAATCTGTATTGAGTTTATGCAATTTTTGATAAAATCTCGGTATTGCCGTTTATTATATAATGAGATTTTGCAATTTATATTATGTAAGTTGTACACAAATATCTGAAATATAGATGATGTCTATAGAAAGTCAGAACCATTATAAAAAATTAGATTTATTACATTATTTTTAGTTGTATTAATACTATTTTAAATGTTATTATACATTAGACGAAATAGTTAAGTAAGATTATTGGATTGCAGTCAAAATTTGTCCTGAACTTTAGTTCAATTATTTAAATTAACTCTTTTTACCATTTCACTTTTCAAAATATGTCTCTATTGTGAATTACATAAAAAATACAAAACTGTTTGGGTCGTCACATAGATATTTAATATGTAAGGCATCTAGGCAGCCCCAATGCTGGTACTTCTAAGACTATGGCATTTAATTATTTAGACCATGTGACTTATGCCAACTTCGAGTAGTCCACTTGACTGTTTGTGATATACTTGATGTTATATAGTTTTAAGGGGGTGTGGGGCTTGCCTCCACCTGGGTGCTGAGGTGCGAGTGATAGTGAGCACTAGTCTACATGCAAAGTGTACAGAATAGGCTGAAGATTGATACATGTTAAAAACTGACCTTCATGCTACAGGGGCTACCTAAGTGCAATTTTTCCTGTAAGGCTATCTTGAAGGATTAAAAGATATAATGGTATTGATTAGAAATTTAATTTTTCTAGTAATCAGCTAAAGGTTATTTGTAATTTCATACAGAATCTGTAAGCAAATTAGTTCTGAATAATTGATTTAATGCAATTACTGTAATTATAAATTGTTTTTGTATCAACTTAGATATTTTTGTTTTAGCCTTTTTGAAATAAATGTAGAAGCAAAGATTAAAAATTATATTATATATCTTATTCATTTTAATCAAGTCTCTAATTATATAATANTTCATGACGTACCCTAACTGTGTACCAAATTTCACCTCTAGGTTCAGCGGTTTGCTCTGGGCGATGATGAATCAGTGACTCAGTCAGTCAGTCAGGACAAGTAATTTTATATATTTAGATTACTTGGGAATTTTTTTCTGCGTCGGTAAAAGTCTTCTATTTTCTTACAAATACGTGCAGAAATATTCTACCAGTAGACGTGTTTGCAGCATGGAATTCGGTCAGTTACTGCAGTAAAATATGTAAATTTAAATAAGTATTCACGGGATTGGACATTTTAACATTCCCACGCGCTACATCATCGACTTCGATCGACATCCAGCTGTCATGCAACCAATGAAATTACGACGAATTGCATATTTTTCTTATAAAAAGACGTGCAAGTTGCGTGTTTTCAGCATTCGGTGGACCAAAACATTTAGGAAGAACCGGAAGTAGAACTAACAACCGAAGATGTACAAGTTCCTGTTTACATTCATTATTGATAAGTAACGTTTATAAAGTATCTTCTGACGGGTAAGTTTGCAGATGTGAATGACGCTGTTGGGATTTTAACAGAGCTATAGAGCATACCCATAGGAGCAAAAAAGTCAAAGGATCCATACCTCTAAATGTGACTCTTCGCGAGATACAGTTTCCGAAATCAGCATAAAGCAAATTTCCAAGCGCTACAGGGAATCACGCTGCGTGCCCGCTAAGCTTATCGCGTTTATTAACAGTGAGTATAGCACAGTGATCAGTGCTTATAGCAAGAAATTAATGCGTTAACTTTTACAGACCGAAAACAGTTTTTATTTCAAACCAGTATTTCCTATTCTCCATGCTATGAGTCGTCAAGGCGAGCCTTAACCTACGCTCCCATGTAGTAGTACGCTTCGCTGCTGGCCTCGGTGCCCGGATGGGGGCGAATCCCCACACCGCCTAAAACTATAAAACATCAAGTACTCTACGAATAGTCAAGTGGACTACTCGAAGTCGGTGTAGTCGCGTGAGCTAAATAGCGGTCCGCCGCGCGAGGATCCGCGAAATTAGTCGCACGCGATCTGGCCATCGCCTGCGGCTGATTTATAGGGCTACATCTCGGCAAGGGTCACATTTAGAGGTATGGTTCTTTTTGACTTCTTTGCTCCTACGGGCGTGCTCTATAGCCCTGTTAAGATCCCAACAGCACCATACACATCTCCAACTGTACTGCACCTTTTTTACGTACTTTAGACTAATTTTGTGTATTCGAACCCGTAGCAATTGACATTTGTAAACGGTGGTTTTTTCCGAAAACTTTCTTGTAAGAAGAATTCGCAGAAAATAATCTGCAAATTCGCTATTTTTAAACGTTGAATTAAGAGAAAACTAATTTTTTCAGGAATTATTTTGTTGGAAAGTAACGAAGGTCGATACACGAAAGTCGTAGGACGTGATCGATCCGATTTGAAAGGAAGAAACTTATTACCTGGTATTTCAGTGGAAGTGAATTCGTTGGAAGATGAGCAAAATAGAGCCAATGGTCGATACACGAAAGTCGTAGGACGTGATCGATCCGATTTGAAAGGAAGAAACTTATTACCTGGTATTTCAGTGGAAGTGAATTCGTTGGAAGATGAGCAAAATAGAGCCAATGGTCGATACACGAAAGTCGTAGGACGTGATCGATCCGATTTGAAAGGAAGAAACTTATTACCTGGTATTTCAGTGGAAGTGAATTCGTTGGAAGATGAGCAAAATAGAGCCAATGGTCGATACACGAAAGTCGTAGGACGTGATCGATCCGATTTGAAAGGAAGAAACTTATTACCTGGTATTTCAGTGGAAGTGAATTCGTTGGAAGATGAGCAAAATAGAGCCAATGGTCGATACACGAAAGTCGTAGGACGTGATCGATCCGATTTGAAAGGAAGAAACTTATTACCTGGTATTTCAGTGGAAGTGAATTCGTTGGAAGATGAGCAAAATAGAGCCAATGGTCGATACACGAAAGTCGTAGGACGTGATCGATCCGATTTGAAAGGAAGAAACTTATTACCTGGTATTTCAGTGGAAGTGAATTCGTTGGAAGATGAGCAAAATAGAGCCAATGGTCGATACACGAAAGTCGTAGGACGTGATCGATCCGATTTGAAAGGAAGAAACTTATTACCTGGTATTTCAGTGGAAGTGAATTCGTTGGAAGATGAGCAAAATAGAGCCAATGGTCGATACACGAAAGTCGTAGGACGTGATCGATCCGATTTGAAAGGAAGAAACTTATTACCTGGTATTTCAGTGGAAGTGAATTCGTTGGAAGATGAGCAAAATAGAGCCAATGGTCGATACACGAAAGTCGTAGGACGTGATCGATCCGATTTGAAAGGAAGAAACTTATTACCTGGTATTTCAGTGGAAGTGAATTCGTTGGAAGATGAGCAAAATAGAGCCAATGGTCGATACACGAAAGTCGTAGGACGTGATCGATCCGATTTGAAAGGAAGAAACTTATTACCTGGTATTTCAGTGGAAGTGAATTCGTTGGAAGATGAGCAAAATAGAGCCAATGGTCGATACACGAAAGTCGTAGGACGTGATCGATCCGATTTGAAAGGAAGAAACTTATTACCTGGTATTTCAGTGGAAGTGAATTCGTTGGAAGATGAGCAAAATAGAGCCAATGGTCGATACACGAAAGTCGTAGGACGTGATCGATCCGATTTGAAAGGAAGAAACTTATTACCTGGTATTTCAGTGGAAGTGAATTCGTTGGAAGATGAGCAAAATAGAGCCAATGGTCGATACACGAAAGTCGTAGGACGTGATCGATCCGATTTGAAAGGAAGAAACTTATTACCTGGTATTTCAGTGGAAGTGAATTCGTTGGAAGATGAGCAAAATAGAGCCAATGGTCGATACACGAAAGTCGTAGGACGTGATCGATCCGATTTGAAAGGAAGAAACTTATTACCTGGTATTTCAGTGGAAGTGAATTCGTTGGAAGATGAGCAAAATAGAGCCAATGGTCGATACACGAAAGTCGTAGGACGTGATCGATCCGATTTGAAAGGAAGAAACTTATTACCTGGTATTTCAGTGGAAGTGAATTCGTTGGAAGATGAGCAAAATAGAGCCAATGGTCGATACACGAAAGTCGTAGGACGTGATCGATCCGATTTGAAAGGAAGAAACTTATTACCTGGTATTTCAGTGGAAGTGAATTCGTTGGAAGATGAGCAAAATAGAGCCAATGGTCGATACACGAAAGTCGTAGGACGTGATCGATCCGATTTGAAAGGAAGAAACTTATTACCTGGTATTTCAGTGGAAGTGAATTCGTTGGAAGATGAGCAAAATAGAGCCAATGGTCGATACACGAAAGTCGTAGGACGTGATCGATCCGATTTGAAAGGAAGAAACTTATTACCTGGTATTTCAGTGGAAGTGAATTCGTTGGAAGATGAGCAAAATAGAGCCAATGGTCGATACACGAAAGTCGTAGGACGTGATCGATCCGATTTGAAAGGAAGAAACTTATTACCTGGTATTTCAGTGGAAGTGAATTCGTTGGAAGATGAGCAAAATAGAGCCAATGGTCGATACACGAAAGTCGTAGGACGTGATCGATCCGATTTGAAAGGAAGAAACTTATTACCTGGTATTTCAGTGGAAGTGAATTCGTTGGAAGATGAGCAAAATAGAGCCAATGGTCGATACACGAAAGTCGTAGGACGTGATCGATCCGATTTGAAAGGAAGAAACTTATTACCTGGTATTTCAGTGGAAGTGAATTCGTTGGAAGATGAGCAAAATAGAGCCAATGGTCGATACACGAAAGTCGTAGGACGTGATCGATCCGATTTGAAAGGAAGAAACTTATTACCTGGTATTTCAGTGGAAGTGAATTCGTTGGAAGATGAGCAAAATAGAGCCAATGGTCGATACACGAAAGTCGTAGGACGTGATCGATCCGATTTGAAAGGAAGAAACTTATTACCTGGTATTTCAGTGGAAGTGAATTCGTTGGAAGATGAGCAAAATAGAGCCAATGGTCGATACACGAAAGTCGTAGGACGTGATCGATCCGATTTGAAAGGAAGAAACTTATTACCTGGTATTTCAGTGGAAGTGAATTCGTTGGAAGATGAGCAAAATAGAGCCAATGGTCGATACACGAAAGTCGTAGGACGTGATCGATCCGATTTGAAAGGAAGAAACTTATTACCTGGTATTTCAGTGGAAGTGAATTCGTTGGAAGATGAGCAAAATAGAGCCAATGGTCGATACACGAAAGTCGTAGGACGTGATCGATCCGATTTGAAAGGAAGAAACTTATTACCTGGTATTTCAGTGGAAGTGAATTCGTTGGAAGATGAGCAAAATAGAGCCAATGGTCGATACACGAAAGTCGTAGGACGTGATCGATCCGATTTGAAAGGAAGAAACTTATTACCTGGTATTTCAGTGGAAGTGAATTCGTTGGAAGATGAGCAAAATAGAGCCAATGGTCGATACACGAAAGTCGTAGGACGTGATCGATCCGATTTGAAAGGAAGAAACTTATTACCTGGTATTTCAGTGGAAGTGAATTCGTTGGAAGATGAGCAAAATAGAGCCAATGGTCGATACACGAAAGTCGTAGGACGTGATCGATCCGATTTGAAAGGAAGAAACTTATTACCTGGTATTTCAGTGGAAGTGAATTCGTTGGAAGATGAGCAAAATAGAGCCAATGGTCGATACACGAAAGTCGTAGGACGTGATCGATCCGATTTGAAAGGAAGAAACTTATTACCTGGTATTTCAGTGGAAGTGAATTCGTTGGAAGATGAGCAAAATAGAGCCAATGGTCGATACACGAAAGTCGTAGGACGTGATCGATCCGATTTGAAAGGAAGAAACTTATTACCTGGTATTTCAGTGGAAGTGAATTCGTTGGAAGATGAGCAAAATAGAGCCAATGGTCGATACACGAAAGTCGTAGGACGTGATCGATCCGATTTGAAAGGAAGAAACTTATTACCTGGTATTTCAGTGGAAGTGAATTCGTTGGAAGATGAGCAAAATAGAGCCAATGGTCGATACACGAAAGTCGTAGGACGTGATCGATCCGATTTGAAAGGAAGAAACTTATTACCTGGTATTTCAGTGGAAGTGAATTCGTTGGAAGATGAGCAAAATAGAGCCAATGGTCGATACACGAAAGTCGTAGGACGTGATCGATCCGATTTGAAAGGAAGAAACTTATTACCTGGTATTTCAGTGGAAGTGAATTCGTTGGAAGATGAGCAAAATAGAGCCAATGGTCGATACACGAAAGTCGTAGGACGTGATCGATCCGATTTGAAAGGAAGAAACTTATTACCTGGTATTTCAGTGGAAGTGAATTCGTTGGAAGATGAGCAAAATAGAGCCAATGGTCGATACACGAAAGTCGTAGGACGTGATCGATCCGATTTGAAAGGAAGAAACTTATTACCTGGTATTTCAGTGGAAGTGAATTCGTTGGAAGATGAGCAAAATAGAGCCAATGGTCGATACACGAAAGTCGTAGGACGTGATCGATCCGATTTGAAAGGAAGAAACTTATTACCTGGTATTTCAGTGGAAGTGAATTCGTTGGAAGATGAGCAAAATAGAGCCAATGGTCGATACACGAAAGTCGTAGGACGTGATCGATCCGATTTGAAAGGAAGAAACTTATTACCTGGTATTTCAGTGGAAGTGAATTCGTTGGAAGATGAGCAAAATAGAGCCAATGGTCGATACACGAAAGTCGTAGGACGTGATCGATCCGATTTGAAAGGAAGAAACTTATTACCTGGTATTTCAGTGGAAGTGAATTCGTTGGAAGATGAGCAAAATAGAGCCAATGGTCGATACACGAAAGTCGTAGGACGTGATCGATCCGATTTGAAAGGAAGAAACTTATTACCTGGTATTTCAGTGGAAGTGAATTCGTTGGAAGATGAGCAAAATAGAGCCAATGGTCGATACACGAAAGTCGTAGGACGTGATCGATCCGATTTGAAAGGAAGAAACTTATTACCTGGTATTTCAGTGGAAGTGAATTCGTTGGAAGATGAGCAAAATAGAGCCAATGGTCGATACACGAAAGTCGTAGGACGTGATCGATCCGATTTGAAAGGAAGAAACTTATTACCTGGTATTTCAGTGGAAGTGAATTCGTTGGAAGATGAGCAAAATAGAGCCAATGGTCGATACACGAAAGTCGTAGGACGTGATCGATCCGATTTGAAAGGAAGAAACTTATTACCTGGTATTTCAGTGGAAGTGAATTCGTTGGAAGATGAGCAAAATAGAGCCAATGGTCGATACACGAAAGTCGTAGGACGTGATCGATCCGATTTGAAAGGAAGAAACTTATTACCTGGTATTTCAGTGGAAGTGAATTCGTTGGAAGATGAGCAAAATAGAGCCAATGGTCGATACACGAAAGTCGTAGGACGTGATCGATCCGATTTGAAAGGAAGAAACTTATTACCTGGTATTTCAGTGGAAGTGAATTCGTTGGAAGATGAGCAAAATAGAGCCAATGGTCGATACACGAAAGTCGTAGGACGTGATCGATCCGATTTGAAAGGAAGAAACTTATTACCTGGTATTTCAGTGGAAGTGAATTCGTTGGAAGATGAGCAAAATAGAGCCAATGGTCGATACACGAAAGTCGTAGGACGTGATCGATCCGATTTGAAAGGAAGAAACTTATTACCTGGTATTTCAGTGGAAGTGAATTCGTTGGAAGATGAGCAAAATAGAGCCAATGGTCGATACACGAAAGTCGTAGGACGTGATCGATCCGATTTGAAAGGAAGAAACTTATTACCTGGTATTTCAGTGGAAGTGAATTCGTTGGAAGATGAGCAAAATAGAGCCAATGGTCGATACACGAAAGTCGTAGGACGTGATCGATCCGATTTGAAAGGAAGAAACTTATTACCTGGTATTTCAGTGGAAGTGAATTCGTTGGAAGATGAGCAAAATAGAGCCAATGGTCGATACACGAAAGTCGTAGGACGTGATCGATCCGATTTGAAAGGAAGAAACTTATTACCTGGTATTTCAGTGGAAGTGAATTCGTTGGAAGATGAGCAAAATAGAGCCAATGGTCGATACACGAAAGTCGTAGGACGTGATCGATCCGATTTGAAAGGAAGAAACTTATTACCTGGTATTTCAGTGGAAGTGAATTCGTTGGAAGATGAGCAAAATAGAGCCAATGGTCGATACACGAAAGTCGTAGGACGTGATCGATCCGATTTGAAAGGAAGAAACTTATTACCTGGTATTTCAGTGGAAGTGAATTCGTTGGAAGATGAGCAAAATAGAGCCAATGGTCGATACACGAAAGTCGTAGGACGTGATCGATCCGATTTGAAAGGAAGAAACTTATTACCTGGTATTTCAGTGGAAGTGAATTCGTTGGAAGATGAGCAAAATAGAGCCAATGGTCGATACACGAAAGTCGTAGGACGTGATCGATCCGATTTGAAAGGAAGAAACTTATTACCTGGTATTTCAGTGGAAGTGAATTCGTTGGAAGATGAGCAAAATAGAGCCAATGGTCGATACACGAAAGTCGTAGGACGTGATCGATCCGATTTGAAAGGAAGAAACTTATTACCTGGTATTTCAGTGGAAGTGAATTCGTTGGAAGATGAGCAAAATAGAGCCAATGGTCGATACACGAAAGTCGTAGGACGTGATCGATCCGATTTGAAAGGAAGAAACTTATTACCTGGTATTTCAGTGGAAGTGAATTCGTTGGAAGATGAGCAAAATAGAGCCAATGGTCGATACACGAAAGTCGTAGGACGTGATCGATCCGATTTGAAAGGAAGAAACTTATTACCTGGTATTTCAGTGGAAGTGAATTCGTTGGAAGATGAGCAAAATAGAGCCAATGGTCGATACACGAAAGTCGTAGGACGTGATCGATCCGATTTGAAAGGAAGAAACTTATTACCTGGTATTTCAGTGGAAGTGAATTCGTTGGAAGATGAGCAAAATAGAGCCAATGGTCGATACACGAAAGTCGTAGGACGTGATCGATCCGATTTGAAAGGAAGAAACTTATTACCTGGTATTTCAGTGGAAGTGAATTCGTTGGAAGATGAGCAAAATAGAGCCAATGGTCGATACACGAAAGTCGTAGGACGTGATCGATCCGATTTGAAAGGAAGAAACTTATTACCTGGTATTTCAGTGGAAGTGAATTCGTTGGAAGATGAGCAAAATAGAGCCAATGGTCGATACACGAAAGTCGTAGGACGTGATCGATCCGATTTGAAAGGAAGAAACTTATTACCTGGTATTTCAGTGGAAGTGAATTCGTTGGAAGATGAGCAAAATAGAGCCAATGGTCGATACACGAAAGTCGTAGGACGTGATCGATCCGATTTGAAAGGAAGAAACTTATTACCTGGTATTTCAGTGGAAGTGAATTCGTTGGAAGATGAGCAAAATAGAGCCAATGGTCGATACACGAAAGTCGTAGGACGTGATCGATCCGATTTGAAAGGAAGAAACTTATTACCTGGTATTTCAGTGGAAGTGAATTCGTTGGAAGATGAGCAAAATAGAGCCAATGGTCGATACACGAAAGTCGTAGGACGTGATCGATCCGATTTGAAAGGAAGAAACTTATTACCTGGTATTTCAGTGGAAGTGAATTCGTTGGAAGATGAGCAAAATAGAGCCAATGGTCGATACACGAAAGTCGTAGGACGTGATCGATCCGATTTGAAAGGAAGAAACTTATTACCTGGTATTTCAGTGGAAGTGAATTCGTTGGAAGATGAGCAAAATAGAGCCAATGGTCGATACACGAAAGTCGTAGGACGTGATCGATCCGATTTGAAAGGAAGAAACTTATTACCTGGTATTTCAGTGGAAGTGAATTCGTTGGAAGATGAGCAAAATAGAGCCAATGGTCGATACACGAAAGTCGTAGGACGTGATCGATCCGATTTGAAAGGAAGAAACTTATTACCTGGTATTTCAGTGGAAGTGAATTCGTTGGAAGATGAGCAAAATAGAGCCAATGGTCGATACACGAAAGTCGTAGGACGTGATCGATCCGATTTGAAAGGAAGAAACTTATTACCTGGTATTTCAGTGGAAGTGAATTCGTTGGAAGATGAGCAAAATAGAGCCAATGGTCGATACACGAAAGTCGTAGGACGTGATCGATCCGATTTGAAAGGAAGAAACTTATTACCTGGTATTTCAGTGGAAGTGAATTCGTTGGAAGATGAGCAAAATAGAGCCAATGGTCGATACACGAAAGTCGTAGGACGTGATCGATCCGATTTGAAAGGAAGAAACTTATTACCTGGTATTTCAGTGGAAGTGAATTCGTTGGAAGATGAGCAAAATAGAGCCAATGGTCGATACACGAAAGTCGTAGGACGTGATCGATCCGATTTGAAAGGAAGAAACTTATTACCTGGTATTTCAGTGGAAGTGAATTCGTTGGAAGATGAGCAAAATAGAGCCAATGGTCGATACACGAAAGTCGTAGGACGTGATCGATCCGATTTGAAAGGAAGAAACTTATTACCTGGTATTTCAGTGGAAGTGAATTCGTTGGAAGATGAGCAAAATAGAGCCAATGGTCGATACACGAAAGTCGTAGGACGTGATCGATCCGATTTGAAAGGAAGAAACTTATTACCTGGTATTTCAGTGGAAGTGAATTCGTTGGAAGATGAGCAAAATAGAGCCAATGGTCGATACACGAAAGTCGTAGGACGTGATCGATCCGATTTGAAAGGAAGAAACTTATTACCTGGTATTTCAGTGGAAGTGAATTCGTTGGAAGATGAGCAAAATAGAGCCAATGGTCGATACACGAAAGTCGTAGGACGTGATCGATCCGATTTGAAAGGAAGAAACTTATTACCTGGTATTTCAGTGGAAGTGAATTCGTTGGAAGATGAGCAAAATAGAGCCAATGGTCGATACACGAAAGTCGTAGGACGTGATCGATCCGATTTGAAAGGAAGAAACTTATTACCTGGTATTTCAGTGGAAGTGAATTCGTTGGAAGATGANTTGCTCAGAATCTGCTCAGCAAAATTTTTTTTTGCTCAGAGAAGTATATGTTCCGCTCATCTACAAAAAAAATTTGAGGGAACATTGCACACAGGATGACTTTTCCTTAATATAACATAATTTAACCTTACTCTAACCTTTGTTTCTTCACTGCCATACTAAATCTGCAGATTAAGAGTAATGACACCATCAATAAATCAATATTACAGATACTGAAGTTATGGATTTCACTCTACAAACAGATAAAATAAAAATTTTATAAATTATATTTGACAGCCATGTATCATTAACATTTTAATGTTTGGAATATTTTTGCACAAGTACTTTTCATTTAAATATTTAAAATTTGTTTATAATATATAAGTGTGTGAGAATAAATTTTACCATTAAAACTTTTAAAATATTTAAAATTTGAATATTGTTAAACCATATTTTAAATTTGAAATTCTTCATAAATCTGATGAAGATAATGAAAGTTATCAAAAGTACTTGTATTGGTCATTTATTAAATACTGTAAGGCTGATATACAGTGTGTGTTTTTTTCTGTGAATATTTAAAGATCATCTGTCAGAGGGAACTCGGCAAACTATTCCAAAACTATAGCAAAAAAGCTCAGTTTCATTTAAACTACTTTAAACAATTCATTGAGTTTAGGAATGTGGGATTTTCTTGTTATGGGGATAAATGGCTATGTCACTTTAGGACACACCTATTTGGTTACTTGTGGCCATGAAGGTGGAGTTTGACTAGTGCAGCTTTACAGGAGAATTTCAGGGGTTCTAGCTTTATGGTCTCATAAGTGAGGGGGCCACAAAGCAAGGTTTTACTGACTGTACATGTAATTACATTATATGATAATAATATAAATTACTAAATTTTGATATTGTATATTTGATTTTATATGCAAGAAATGTATAATTTGAGAATAAAATGCAGTACTAAAATTTAACATTAAGCATATTTAATTGATTATTTTAGGTAGTTGATAATCACGTTATAAAATATCATCCACCTGAAGTATTTGCAAAAATGAGATTTGGTCCATTACATAATGAAAACGGAAGATTAGGATGTCTCATTGTTGGAGCAGAAAGTGTAGATCCTCAAAGAGTAATTTGATTTTTATTTGTTTATATTTCTTATTTATTGAATTAGTAATGAATTAAAAATGCAAATTTATTATTAATTAAATTTTATTTTATTTTTTAAAAGATAATTGTAAAGTAGTTTGTAGAACCATGTAGAAAAATTTTGTGTATAATTATCATTTGGATTCATAAACTTAATGTGTATCAATAGCCATTTATTTTTAAAGTGATATTAATGTAAGTTCAATTTAGAAAAATAGAGTTAAATTAGGCTTCTGCTGTAAACTTTTTAAATAATTGGAAATGTGACAGTTGAACACAGCTGTTAAACCTGTAGTATTGTAAATGAAGTATAGTGTACATCTATTCTCTTGAAATGCTAGTAATAATAATAATTTGTGAGTAAAGATCTCATAATTTGTCTACTTAATGCAAATATTCTTAAAATTTTGACATTTGTATTCCAAAGAATTATTCAATTGTAAAATAATAAATTAGAAAATACTTCAAATAAATAATATAATAGCATGCTTTATTAACATGAAATGAATGCATAGTTAATAAAAATGAAAGATAAATTTGATATTAATCTGATTTTAAGGAAAGAATTTAGTTAAGGTTATTCCTATTGGATCATGTTTGTAGGTTCTTTACTTGTCATTTCTTACCTCATAGAATCAATTTTGCTGTTTAAAGAAAATTCAATAACAATAACAAAATTCAATTGTAAATGATGGAAATGTTTGCAAGTTCAGAAAAATACAACTACATTTGTATGTTACTGATTGCCTACAGAAGAATGTCATTTTAATATAAGATTATAAAATAATTTAATTAAGTTATTTAAAATTCAAAATTTAACATATGTGGTCAACCTTCATATAACATGGAAATTTGGAAATTTGTAGCATGGTTTTGCCCTTACACAGTTTAAGAAATGCAATAAATTTTTCATAACATGCACTTTTGTATTTGGGAAATATTGCTATTATGTTGGATGTAAATTTTTAATATTTCCATTCTTTTGTTTGAATTCCCATTATTTATTCACTAGCCATTAAAAGAGGAAAAAATTATATATATGAACACCTATATCTCTTTATGCAGTCTATTTTTTTAATGCAAATTTTATAATATCAAGATGATTCAAAAGTTTTTGGACACTGACAACACTTTTGCAAAAAAATCTCTAGCACTGGCAATGCTACGGTGAATGCAGATGAGTTAGTATTTGCATCATCATCAAAGCACAAACTATCATTTTATAGAACTGTCAAGTTCATTCCTTTGGCAAATATTGATCCACAAGAAAGATTGACTGATGAAAAACTCATCATTGGAGCATCTTGTGTTATTACCGGAAACAAAGATTTAGTGCAAGGGTGATAGCAGAGAAAATTTGCAGAATTGAAGGCCTAGGCCTGATGAGCAAGACAGCTACAGCTGAATAGTTTTGCTACTTTAACTCTGAGAATACCTTATAGACAAGCCTCAGTCTGGACAACCACCAACCATTAATGATGAAGCTCTGCTCTGAGCTGTTGAACAGGAGCCAGGCAGCAGAACTCACTGACTGTATACTGAACTCAGAGCTTCACAATCAACTATTTTTCAACATTTGAAACATGTTGGTTTTGAAGCAGAAGACCTTTAGAAATATCGCATGAATTGACAGAGCAACAGACACAAAGGAGGATACAGGCTTGCAATCATATGTTGCAAAATCCAAAAGATAACAAGTTCTGGTGCATGATTGTAATGTGAGACAAAAAATTGACCTTTTTCAGAAATCCTAACAGAAAAGTCCATTGGTTTTGACTGGGTGAAGTGCCAACACAAATAGTTCAATGAGGACAGTTTAAATGAAAAGTCATGCTGTGCATTTGGAGGAATTTTGATGGTCACTGCATAGCTAGCTAGTTCTTAATGGCTAGATCATGGACAGCAACTGCTATGCTGAGAAACTGGAATGGGTGTTTGAAGTCCTGCACACTTGCTATCCAGCATTACTTAATCAAAAGTGTACACTGCTGTAGCATAATGATGCTCTCGCACACAATTCCAGAATGGTCCAAGGAAAGTTAGAGGAGCTAGAGGGGAACGAAGTTATGCCTCACCCAGCATACAGCTCTGACCTTGCTCCATCAGATTTTCACCTCTTCTTGTTGTTGGCACATTTTCTGCAAGGATGTTCCTTCAATACAATGCATGATGTTGAAAATGGGTTTGTGAGTTTTGGCATTGAAACCACCTGAGTGGTATCGCCAAGGAATCCACCAACTTGTAGTAAGATAGGTCAAGACCATAGCTAACAATCATTTTTATTTTGAGGAATGACGATGTTTTTGTGTTTTAGCATCAATAAAATTTTGTATCTTGTGTTTGTGTTTGGGAACTTTTGAATCAAACTGATAAATAACATGGTTGACAAAAGAAAACTAATCCTTTTTTAATGTGATTGATTCTTTTAAACATGAAAAAAGCAGTTTATTTGAAAATTTTAAAATTTAACTTTTCGTTTAAATTTTGTTATTGTTAAAAAGTTACTTTTTTTTATTGTTTATCTTTTTTAAGCACAGTACAGTACTCTATGTACATCAGATAATACTTATTATATGTTGATTTTATGTTTCCTATGTTAACCTTATGTTTACTATACAGGGGTTGCAAAAGTAGGTATACAGTTATTATTATGAAAAAATTCATACAGGGAGAAAATAGGAAGATAAAACATTTAATTTTATGTACAAATTAAATCACAAATAAGGAATATGAACTAATAAAAGATAATAAAAATAATACAGTGGGTGATTGGTTAACAAATATAATCCATTCCAAAACTTTGTTCTTTACCCAAATTGTTTGTTAACTGATTATTGATTTACCATAAGTTTTTATGGGAATTTGATTAATTCATTTTGGAGACCCCAAAAATAAACAATATATACTTTCTTACTACGTACATTTATATGTAATAATAAAAATACATAAATACACAGTCTTGTATTTTTATTAGACATGTTTTTTCCATTTGTGGGGTTAAAGAATCTGTCCAATGTCAATTGCTTTTCTCTTTTCAAGATTTTTCAGAAGTAATTAATAGCATTGTAATTGTAGAGATCCCTAAGCCTATTAACCTCAATCTGGTTTGGATGCCATTCTAAGATCATTATTCTGACATCCTCTCACTTCTTCAAAAGATCTTTAATAGCAGATGTCGGAATTGGTCCTCTTTTGTTTCCCTCTTTTTTAGAAGAAACACATCTCGCTGAGTTTCTTGGTGTTATTCATTTAAGAGTTCTTGGAGTTCTTCTGTTGTCACATCAGTTTTGGGTTCCATTATGAGCTCTTCAATGCTCTTTATTTCTCAGATGTGATTTTCATTACTCTTTTAGCTGCTTGAGTCTTTTTGATATATCTCTCTTAGTTAAGATTGTGCCTACTGTAGACCTGTTCAAGCTATACTGCCTAGCAACATCAGACATCTTCTGTCCACTCTCTACCTTGGCTATTATCTCTTGCTTGATTTCTATGGTGAGCCCAGTTCTTGACATTCCTCTTTTAGGCTCCATAATATTATCAGTTTCTTTTTTAAATAAAAAGTTTAGAAAAGCACTTACAAAAATTCAGAGAACAGAAATCAACTAGTGCACAAAAAAATTATGTAAATTCGAGACCCGGATGAAATTCGAAATTTGGTATTAAAACATTAACGAATACTTAATGGGACAGTTAAACTCTCACCTTTCGTAAATTAAAACCAATGCAAAACTTAATGAGTACCTGCCCAACAATCTCGCGAAGACTATAAAAAATTATTTGTCGGAAAGGTAAACAAAAGGCTGAAATTACAAGGGAGAGTTTCAAAATTCAGAGGAATACTATCGGGTTGAGTGTCGATGCCAATGTCTCTCACACTGCAAAAAGTTTCAAATTGTTACCTGAAGACAAGGGAAAATCAATCGGTATTTGTTATTTTCCATCACTTCTTTTTGTTTGTTCTGTGAAGTGTTCGTTGTCTGAACATAAAAATTTTTCGTGAAAGTGTTCATTATCCAATTTGTTTGCTATCTAAACTGTTCATTAATTGATCACCCACTGTAATAATGAACACCAAACATTTGTATTTCTCAGATTCTCAACTGTATACCTACTTTTGCACCCCTCCCTGTATTTATGTACAAATAATGTTAATGATAAATGATGTTAGAATAAAAAAGACATGTTTTTTCTTGTTCCATTGAGTTTCTGAGTCCTATCAAGCATTTATCAACAGTATGCACAGACTGTACTTTTTTATGTGATTTTCATTTTACATGGTGTATTTTGAAACGTATCCACCACGCAAAAAGAGGGATAGATATATCTAAGATATTAAGATTATTTTCAGTTTTGCTTGGTCAGTTAACTTATTAATTTTTCTGGTTATTTATCTTGTAACTTTGTTCTTAAGAAACTGTACTGGAATAATTTATTTATTATGAATGAAATTTATAAATTATGCTAATGAAAGTAAAAATAAAAAAAAGCATTACTTCAAATAAAGTGTTCTATTTTTATAGAATCAAAGTTACAAATTTTGGTATGTCTTGTAAAAGGAAAAATGGTATTTTATGTTGCAAAAAGTTTAAATTTAAATGAAATAGCAATCAAAATCACATAAAAAAATGAACAGAAAATTAGAACTGCTATTTCCACAAATCTGATAGATTTTCATTAGCTTTTAGAACATAATCTTCTACTCTTGTACTAGTTTATCATCATGTATAACAGTTTTGCAGCATACGAGATTTTGTAGATATATAACTACCACATTATATGAGGTTTCTTGTATTTAGTGTTAGATTTAAGTCTAAATTAATTAAGTTATACTGATATTGAATGTACAGTACTGTACTTAGGAAGTCTTTTGAATAATTTATTTTAAAAAGATTATTACACATTACAGCATTAGAATACTTATGCATTATGTAAATATAAAGCATTATAAAAATATCATTTACCATTATAAGACTTGCATCTAATTTAGGTGTCCATTGCTTTTGTTAATAGAGAGAATTATTTTCATTAGGGAAAATTATGCAAGGACAAGGTTTTTTTTTTTTTTACTCAAAGTGCATTGCACTGCACAACAATAATCTCTTTTGAGTCTTTTCAGCCATTCTAAATTTTTAAAGCATAGGTTATTTATTTTTCCATCCTGTTGTGCTGTTTAGAATTTTCTTTTACTAATTTTACCAAGTTAACAATAAAATTTATATGATTTTGAGTTATATTTAGTTATAATAAATTATGTGTAAAATATGAACATATTATCAAAACAAATTAAAAAATTTAACTTAAGAACAACATAGTAAGAAAGATTTAAAATTTTCATATTGATTTATTATATATCATATTATACATTGTAATGAAATATCCATTTTAATTTCATAGTTTTCAGCAGAATACATTGGCCTTTTCAATGAAGCTGGGGTTATGCCAAAAAGGAAACTAACGAAATTTTATATTACTCCTAATGCAGCTCTTCAACCAGGTAATAAAATTTTATTTTAAATATAATTAATTTAATATTAATTATATTTAAAATAATAATAATTAATAATAAATGATTAGTTAATAAATAAAAATGCTTTAGCATTTTATTTATAATTATTTTCATAAAACATAAATGCTTCATACTAAAGCATTTTATTTTATATTTATATAAAAAATCATGGATATAGTAGATTCTGATCAAATTCTCTCTATTACTATATTTGCATGCATATAAGACAAGGTTTTTATTTATTTTTAACTGCTTCAAAAACCTAGGTTGTCCTATGCATGCGAGTGAAAAATTTTTTGTATTTTTGCAATAATTTTTGTAAACCGTGTATTCGCATGTTTAACTAGATGCTTACCCTCTGGTGTTTAAAAGCAAAAGTATTTTATCTGGGTTGTTTCAGTTGTTCTTGTCAAGAGTAAAGGTGAATAACAATAGGAAAAGCAGAGCTTTTGAATTGAATTCCAAATTGAAATTTCAAAACCACACAGGAGCCCAATATAAGTTTTAATCCATTCCCATGTGAAAGCAGATGATTATTTGGAAATCAGAATTCAGAGAAACTCATAAATGTAATTGACAGAGAGTATTTTGATCTTTAAAGTCACATCTCTTCCTATATGCAAGATCGTCTTATACACAAGTAAATATGGTATATCCAATATTGAATGTATTGATTTATGATTATTATGAGTAATTTACATTTATTTTGTGTCCAATAATTTCTCTCTTTAATTTTATTAAATATACATATGCATACTATATATTACATATTAACGAATAGTGTAAACAGCATTCATTCAGTATGAAATATAGTTATTTAACCTTTTTTAGTAGAAGCTGAAAAGTAAATTATGATAGTGTTTCTGTATTTATTATTATTTTTTAATAGTTTATTTGTATATTTGTGCCAAAATATTACAAAGCTGCTAATAATTCGTGAATTGATGTAATAGGAATTAACTTATAACACATTACTTTATAAATTGTTAGTAATTGTTCTTTTACAAATAGTTAATAATAGCTCACAAACTAAATTATGATAGTGTTTCTGTATTTATTATTATTTTTTAATAGTTTATTTGTATATTTGTGCCAAAATATTACAAAGCTGCTAATAATTCGTGANTATTTTTGCCAGGCTAAATTTAAAATTTGAAATTAATTTTCAAATGAATTTGTTACAATTTTATGCAATTTTTTCATTATTTCAAAATAACTTTGATAATTTGAATGGCCATTTTTATTAATAATTACTGTATTTTCATTTGGAAAATTCTGATGACAGAAAATCAAAAACTTACCAAATTATGTCTGAAAAAGAAGTTGGAAATCATTGCTGCTCTTGAATGAATGAATTTATTTGATGCTAAATTAAATATACAGCAAAGAAGGAAACCAAAAAAAATCACTCAATCATAAATAATCTAAATCCCTTAACGGATTAATAAATTTAAACAAATTCTGAAAATTTGATCTGTTTCGTACTTATACACTCACCATATGTATTATTTTTACAATTACAATGTATATGAAAACACCAACCACATAACTGATTGCACAATGTACACACAGGCAATGTTCCCTCTAAGCTGCGTGGCCGCGCACTGCTCAAATTGTTGCCGCGCAGGTGAGCATGCACTTCTATTTGAATTGTTGTTTACTTATTTCTCACTCTGTCTGCAACATGATTATTGCTGCGTATATTTCGATTAAATACATTAAATCAGTGACAAAAGATAATATTTCGTATAAAAGTATGTTTTAAAATGAATTTTAATCTATACTTTATAATAAATTATTTTAATTTTTATGGGAAAAAATAAGATTTTATATATATATATGCTCAGAAAAATTTTTTTGCTCAGAATCTGCTCAGCAAAATTTTTTTTGCTCAGAGAAGTATATGCTCTGCTCATCGACAAAAAAAATTAGAGGGAACATTGTCTGTGGGATGCGTGGAGGGCATGAAGTGGAGTTGATTCGTCTCTTTTTCTGTCCCGTCACCAGTTACCTTTCTTCCATGACCTGTCCTTTTTTTCTTTCTCCATGGACAAAAATGACTGACTTTACCATTTAGTAAAATAATTCGCTCGTTGTCTCTATAGAGAATTATCTTCTCCTGCTCTAAAAGTGTTACTCCTTCAAAAGGGGCGATAGTATTCGAGCGTACGATTTTACATATGGAAAACTTGTATCCACGCAACATGAATATAGGAGCTGTCATACCTATGGTCGGTATGGTTTCTCCATCCAAACCTGTTTTCTTCTTTTTAGTTCCAAATTTTACTGGAGCCTTCCCTTTCAATGTGTTGGCAACCTCCTTTGACAATACTGAGTGTTTGAACTCTGGATCTATACGAACTTTCACTGGAACGTTATTAATGTAGCATAAAACTACTGGGTTATGGTTTCGTTTCGTTGAGGTTGTTGTTCGAATGATTCCTGTCCATCGCTCTCTATCTACTGAGGAAAAATCCGTTTCGTTATCGTCTATTTGTTGGCTGGAGGCCTAATTCGTTTTAGACGAAAATAGGAAATCGGACAATAATTGTTTTTTGTATGTCTCAGAAAGGACAACTCGCTCGCAATTTCATCCAATTGAGTTTGAAGTTCCTCAATAACGGCTTTTACTGATTCCCACTCTTCCGGTGGTTTCTCTGTAGCGGATTTAACTTCCCTTATAGGTCTGATAATAGCACTAGGATGTATGGTAAGGTTCTCGATCTCTTTTTCGCTAATAACGGTTTTTAATGCATTGTCAAATGTCGCTGGTTCCCGTGACATGACTCACTGTCTAATGCGCATCGTGATTCCATTTAAAAATTGAGCCTTCAATTTTTCGTCCAATTCTTTATCCTGTACGCGTTTAATCATTGCGGTCTCCGCTGCATCTGCTCCCTCTTGCTTTATCTCAATTTCGGTAGCAAGGGCTTGTAATTGTGCTGCGTATGTCTGTACATCTTCCTCCGGCTTTTGTACACATGCGTAAAATTTATGAACTCGACGGTGAAAAAGAACTTTTTCAAAACGCTCTAGCATAATCCGCTTAAATTCCTCATGATCCTTAATGGCTCTGATTCGTCTATCTTTTCTGACGAATTCCCGGGCTATTCCTGTGAGTCTAAGCTTTGCAACTGACAACATTTGCGTTTTTGTCCATCCTGACAATTTTGCTACATCTACCAACGAGTCAAAAAACTCGCTAATGCGAAAACCGTCTGCTTGTCCTGAGAACACAGGCAGTAAAAGAACTAAACTACCTAGTCCTCCCAAAGTTGCGTGAAGATTTTCGCCTTCCATTTTTATGCGACTATATCCTAGTCCTTCTATGCTCCTAGGTCTGAATTTTTTAAAACCTGTTTGTGGCAGACAAAACTTGTCTGAGCCGAACCTGTTTAAAACGGACTAACTTGTCAAAAGCCTGGAAGTTGGCTTCACCCCACAGCTGACACCAGTGTGAGATAAGCAGCAGGCCACGGGTTAATCCCACAATGACCACTTACTCTGCACGGGCTCGTGAAGCCCGATCTCGACGTTGTCTGATTGGCGGTAGGAGGGCAAATCAAGTGGGGAGGGGTGAAAAAGCTGGCAGGTGCCATTTATTGACAGGGGACAGGTTTAAACTAAACAGAATAACAAGCATTTATTAATTAACACAACTAACTTACAAAACTACTAATGCTAAATGCAATTATCATAATCAGTTAATACCTGAAACTTATGATACAAATCAACCTCATAATTATATTTTGTCCATAGATGCAAATAATCTTTATGGGTTTGTAATGAGAGCATATTTACCTGTAAATAATTTTAGATGGTTGCCCAAAGATAAAATAAATGCTTTAGACATATCTAATATATCAGATGAAATTAACATCGGATATATTTTAGAAGTAGATCTAAAATATTTAGAAAGTATTCACAGTAGACATAATGATATACCATTTGCTACTGACCATACTAATA